TATACTGTCCATCTTAACATTTTACCAAACAATCAATTAATGTTGAACAACTTCTAATAGGTATAGTTTACAAGAACATGCCTTTCTTCATCTTCCTTGTGCCTTGTGAAATGACTAATTAACTATTATAATGTTGTGACCATTCGCCATGTTCTAACCTGATAAGGTATGTTAGTTATTGCAATATTAGATGAAAGGGTTTTGTCACCTTTTCAGAAGCAGATGATTTGATGAGAAAACTGATTGTGTTTAAAACATTTCAATGATTAAATGTTACATGACATTATGTGAATGCATCCGACACTGTAACATGATTCCAGACAAAATTGAAAAGTACAATGAGATTTTAACTTTTTTTATTCTTTCTATCTTAATGTTTGCTAGTACCATATGATTCACCGTACCAAACTAATTAAACTATGCATTAACGTTGAACAACTTCAAATGGGTATAATTTTTAGCTTTAGTCCCTTTTAAAGGCCTACATTCTCATCAAAGTCTTCAGATACAAGTGTGAAATGGACTTAACACAAGTCTACGTCGAACACTTGACTCAATGTAAATGAATAACTGAAAAACGTTATGCAAAGTATTTGAAGACTACTACTACTACTACTACTTTTTTTTTTTTTTTTGAAAAAATAAATAAAGGGTAATATGAGAAGTCGAGACCTTGTTTCGATCAATAAAATGTATTTTGTATGACAGACTAAATAAGAATAAGTAAATTAATAAACAAATGTTTCGCAAACCTCTTTTAATTTTATGACGTACGAATATGTCGTGCAAACCTTGTCGCTACAAGCATAATATAAAATAAATGTAAAATTCATAGACATGCAAAACCTTATTAATCGAACCATGGAAGAAGTCTTTTAGAGAAAGTTGTTGTTCACTTTCTCACCCACTCAAGTCTTCTTAACAAAAAACTCTAAATTACAATATTGGAGTTTCTCTATTATAACAAAAAAGAAAAACAAAACATATCAAGAAAAATAAAAAAATATTCAGAGGGGACCATGTTCTAATGAAAGGCAACAAGAGTTTGTAAACCCAATGGCTATGGCTCCCACTATGTTTTTTCGCTAAGTAAACTCCCCAAAAACACTTGTGCCCTATTCTTTGCCCCCACAGGCCACATGCCATTGTTTCACCCCCACCCCCTAAATTCCCACTTTATATACCCCTTGTGCACACCCATTCATTCCCACCACACCCTTCAAAACTCACTTTTTTTTTTTTAACCCCAAACGAAAAACTTTGATCGCCCCTTCCTTTCTTCTCAGTTTTCTTCTCCAAAAATGGCTATCAGAAAATCAAACAAGCTGTCACAAACAGCAGTTCTAAAACAGATTTTAAAGCGGTGCTCGAGCTTGGGGAAGAAACAAGGGTACGACGAAGAAGGGCTTCCTCTCGACGTGCCAAAAGGTCACTTTGCTGTATACGTTGGACAAAACAGAACTAGATATATAGTTCCGATCTCGTTCTTGACAAGACCTGAATTTCAGATTCTTCTCCAACGTGCAGAAGAAGAATTCGGGTTTGATCATGACATGGGACTCACCATTCCTTGTGAAGAAGATGTTTTTGAGTCTCTTACCTCAATGCTTAGATGAGGATATGCATGAAGCTGCTTTTGCTTCTGTATTTTTCAAATATTTTTTCTTTATTTATGGAAGATTATTTTTTAGGACGCTTACTTGAAGCGGAACCCGAATTCGTGATGAGATAAATTGGGTTTAGATATGTAAATTTAGAAGAAGTTCGATTTTTCCTCGCGGTGGTGTTTCCACGTTGCAAGTCATAACCTGTGTACCCTACGAGGTTTGCTAATATGAAATAATTTTTGGCAATTTATATACTTTGCTAGAAAAATAATGTTATAAACAGTGCGAGAATTTTAGGTGGTCGAAGGTGATTTGATGGAAAAGATGATTATGTTTTCAACAGTCCAATGATAGATTGTTATGAGACATTACGCCAACCATTCTGACACTGTAGCATGATTCATTTATATATTATCTATTCGACATATTCTATTTCCTTGTGGTATCTTACTAAAGAAGAAATGTGATATTCTTCGTTTATTAACCAGGGACTTCAAATTTCGAAAAGAATATTTTCATAATTCGTTAGTTATTCAGATGCTCGTCAAATGTGAGAAGTTCAAAAACTCAATCGCGTACCTCGAAATGGCTTAGTTAGAGAATCAAATTCTCTAAATTTTAATTTGTGATAATTTATATATAATTTGTAGTGGATGGATTGTTGAATTACTTGTGTTGTACGCAAGGCAATGCAATTTGTGTACTCGTAAATTGATTATGAACAAACTGATCAGTCCTTTTGTGATTGAGATGGACCATAACATAAATTCCAAAACGAAGTTTAGGTCACTTGATCCTATAGGTCAATAATTGAGAGGTGTTTCCAGGCACCTTAAATGATGTAAACAAGTATTATGCCCAGCCCATTTTAATGAAAATTTGGAGGAAAATGAGTTTTAAAATACTGAATTTTTTAAGAATGTGTGGTTAAAAAATAAATAAAAATTTTCAATTTTCGTGTAATATTATTTTATGAAAAAAATGTGTAGTTGAAAATATTTTTTATAGTCTAAATTAAAATTAACAATTAATTTTAACCATATATTTTGTGGGATCCATTTAAACCACACATTTTATTAATTTTATCAAAATCTATTAAAACCCTAATTTTAATCCCCACCAAACGATGAGTATTACTTTAGAAATTTCTACGTCAAACTCAATTATCTCAAGATAAGATTCTAATGCGAAAGAAGATCAATGCTATAGGAGCTATTCACGTGACTTTGTTTCTTAATCAATCACTCTCATCATCTCTTTTTTAAATAAGCAATCATTTCTCCAACCATTGATACTTGATTAATCATTCGTGGTAACCTTTGCTGTTTTGTACACTTTTTATGTCACCATTTTATTAGGCCCTTGCTCGGTTCACTTAAAAAAGTTGATTAAAATTTAAGTCGAAATCAACAATAAATTTTAACTACACATTTCACAGGACAATTTTTCAATCACATACTCCATCAAATTTTATCAAAATCTATTAAAATTCTATTTTTTATTTAGATCAAACTAACATAAGTATCAAAACACTTCTATACGAAGACCTTCAATAATCTCCATGTTGCTACATAGTGAACTAGGATGAGCTCAATTTTAAAACTTAAAACAAATATGATCAAATATTAGGAGCTGTTCTCTTTGTGTTTGAATTTTAAATTCAATTTGAATTTTGTGTTTTGAGTGTTTATTTTGAAATTGTTGAAAATGCATTCTTTTTGGAATTTTGAAAAATTGTTTTGAAGACACCCAAAACGTGTTTTGAAAATTTTGACTTGATTATAACTGAAAACACTCGTTTTAAGTTTTCTTTGTAAATTTTTAACTTGTTTTCGAAAACGCGATTTCGAAAATGGAAAAGAGAACGCGTTTTCACTGTTTTGGAAAATTGAAAACAGAAAATGACTTGAAAATGATAAAGAGAATAGACCCTTAATGTTTCTGTATACCTTGTGATATGTACTAGCTATTGAAACTAAAGCCATGCTATGGATGAAACTATTCTCCTGATAGGATAAAAATTATATATTTATTTTTGTAAAAGAGTTTCAGAAAGTTATATATCAATATATATGGATAAATATACGTCGTTTATATTTAGCTCCTGCTAATTGATGTAGCTTAAAATTAAAATTTTTAGTAGAATTTGGTAAAATCTGATAAAATGCGTGGTTCAAAAATTGTGAATTCCATGAAATAAGTAATCAAAATTAATTGTTGATTTTCACTTTCAATAAAAATTAAAATTTTAGTCTCCATAAAAGAGGGACTAATGTTTCGAACTAGAGAATGACAATGTAACAAGTGTCAATAAGCATGAAGGTTGTCTTTTCAAGCTTTTTCTCTTTTTGATCTCAAATCTGTGGGCCGAAAATTGTCTGTACCGATCGAACAACCTTGATTTCTTGGATCTGAAAAAATTTACTTTTCACTTCTTTTTTCGTAATGACTAAAAAAAATATTAACTGTTTTGCTCAATATATATATATATATATATATACACACACACAGAAATGATCTAATG